AGTAAAAAGGGTATCCGGTTCTTTATAATGACTATATTACCAAACACGGAAAAATAGACTACTATTTTACGCTGGTACTCTGTGAGAACGTGGTCCTTTCCCGGCCTAGCCGACCAACTCATGTTACAACCATGATACAGCTGGAGCGTGGCTCTACCACGTAAAAAGAAACAAAATTCTGACTGAAGAGAATAAAAAGTGTAATTTAGACGATAGATTTTGTTGTCAATTTTACCACTATCAATTGTCTACCCTCAGATTCAGATAGGTTGCGCGTTGTTTGGCACATTTTCTGCCGACTTCCAAAAAGGAGACGGTACTCAATTCGACTGTATGTTTTTTTATGTGTGTGTTACCTCATAACTTTTTACTGGGTGAACCGATTTCGATGATTCTTTTTTTATATGAAAGCTGATACTTCTCGTGTGGTCCCATATGAATTTGATCAAGGTCAGACCAATAGTTTTTGAGTTATTCTTAATACTTGTTTGGTGCGAAACGTTTTTATAATATTCTTTAAACTATCGAGTATAATACTTTTTGAATTGTCCTTCATTTAGATATCTGCATAGAACAATGGAATTAATAATTACTAACAAAACTACTTTGCCTATCTTCAAATCGCATGCTTGCTAAATTTAATGAATACCTAAGTAATAAGTACTTATTCGTAAAAATAGACAACTTACTCTTATTTTAATATAAATTTATTAAAAAAAAACTTTCCTGAAAACAATTTCTAACGTGTAAAATAATCATAAAAAATATAAGTAGAGACATCGTTTGAAAAAAGCAAACATTTTTTTTTTGAAACCCGGACAAGCAGCGCCTCTTCCAGCGGTGTTAGTGCCGAGTGTCGGAAATTAAGAACATAGAGCGATGGAGCGGAATTCTTAGCGATCATTACTCTGAGCGATGCGGTCGCAGTATCGCGCTCCTTTATTATGAAATATGTTTTCACTTCTCTGGTTTTAGAGCGGAGCCGGCCTTTGTAGGTCGGCTCGGTCGCGTCTCTATCTACACTCGTTATCCGCTCTAAAAACTTGCGGCGCGGCAAGTCGTTCAATTTATCTAGGGTTTCTAGAGGATGAATTGAAACGAAACACTTTTTGTGCTGTTCCCCCCCCCCCCCCCCATTCAAGGATTCTCTCGAGTGTTCGTCTTCTGACGAATTTTCGTATAATATTATTGGAAAATTTATTTTATCTCCACTTAGAACTACCTGGTTTTTATACCAGGTACTGTACTAATATGCTTTTTTGTTTGGTATGTACTGCAGTTATGTAATACTTACACGTTCAATTTTTTTTAATAAGAAGGTATTACACGACCGGGAAAGGACCACGCTCTCACAGAATATACCAGCGTGAAATATGGTAGATTTATGCTGCTGTGTTTCGTATGGTGATTGTAGAGAACCGGAGACCCTTTTTACTGGAAACATGGCATTCCATAGTCCTCAGGGGTGACAACGTATCTGTATTTTGATTCTCAATCGAGGATAGATGTTGCTGTCTATGAGCCACTGCATCCACTCACCGTCAGGTGGTCTGTGTGCTTGTTTGTCACCCATATTCTATAAAAATAATCTTCTAGACGTGGTGATTGAAGCAAGCCTTCCTGCAATGGGAGGGTTCCGTGTGGTGACGGCGCAAGATAATCGTCCTCATTACGTCCCGCGGGTTTCGTAAGAGGAGTAGGTATGCCATTATACCAGAAAGATTTTATCGTTTCCAATTAAAGATATAGGCGAAATAACCAGCGAAAAAAATATTTAGACTGCCACCGATATTGATTTTAAGCGTTATTAGGTATATTATTGTTTTAAAATATTTGTTGTAATAATGACACTAGTGTTACCTATATTATATCTAGTTACACCTGTTATATTATATACTACTAGGTACTATATAATATAAGTGTAGAGATTTTCACCTCGTATCTGTATCTCAATTCGTCGCTAACGCTGCAAAGGGGCGAATCTCATTTTTTTTTAAAATTACAGGAGAGCAAGAAAACATTTATTATTCCCAGATTACTAGCTTTTTTTCATCAGAAAATTAATCTTATATGTAGTTTTCCATTAAGTCTACTATATTTAATTTTCTGATGAAAAAAAGCTAGTAATCGGGGAATAATAAATGTTTTCTAGCTCTCCTGTAATTTTTTGAAAAATGAGGTTCGCCCCTTTGCGGCTACAACGACAAATTACTTGAAATAACATGGACTTATAAGCGGAAATTTATAATTAAATAATTATTTAACATTTTAATTATATAACAATTAGGGTTAGATACTCACCTATTATCTTTTAGCTCGAAGAGACTCTCAGAAGTTGGGAGTTTATCTGTAAGATACAATTTTAAACATAATTAATTGAATTAAAACATCTTAATACCTAAATAAATATCTAATTAATAGTATCTACTTGTAAAATGTTATAGATGACCCCTACATCAATAACATTTTCAGTTAAATTCAGTTTAAGCTAAATTAGTGCGCTTTTGCATCTTCTATCTACATCACCATCATCACTAGGTAACTATCAGGTGGTATAGTAGTCAAGTAGTGGCAAAAAGTTAAAAAATACGTTAATAGGTTGCTCTTAAATTACAAAAATCTTTAGGAAGGGAACACTTTCTTGTTAAATTATGGAAAAAAAATCGTTATTTCAATGTTTACTTTAAAACCATTTGCAGTTATAACTAAAACAATACCTAGACATTATTTAAAAAAAAAAAAGAGATAATGGATTTGACATTTTATCACTAGGTACCTACTCTGTACATGTATACATTTATTTTTGATTACCTAATGTGAATTCTAAAATCATTTATAGTCGACGACTCAACCAGTTTTATATATCTAACATTCGTTCGTATTCAGAAGACAATTTGCTACAAAACAATCCGACTCCTCCACGAATGTGACTGTAACAAGTTTCCGTGCTGGCAAGTGTACCAACTTAGACCACGCCCCCCTACGTCTTGAGCCCTCCTTCTAACCCACTACGCCCCCGCCGGCTCCTTACACTCCCGCCTTCTTTCTTACGTCACAAGTCTCAAACCTCATACAGACGAGTGCCTATTGATTTATGAGCGCCTGGTACAATCGATACAAATGATGTGCGTATTTTCCACTTCACCTTTCCATTTTGTTTACTTATTAAATAAGAGAGGCGTTAGGGTAATAAAAAATTATTACACCTTTCCTCTTATGCAAACCTAGCCTATAATGTAACGGTATATGTAATGGCGCGTCTCCACCAAAGTTTTGTTGTCAACACAACATTTGTCAACACGTGTTGCCGAAAAATGTTTCTGTAATCATCTAGTTTTAGCAACAAAACGAAACAATGTCGGGAATCGTGTTTCCATTTTCGGCGGCAACATCAAAGAAATACGCTTGATGTCAACATTTGTTCCCTCGGTGGAGACGCTTCTTGCAACATTTTGAAACATTTTCGGAAACAAATGTCGTCAACTTTCGTTGATTTGTCAACAGTTGGAAACATAAATGTTGTCAACATTTTTGGTGGAGACGCGCCTTTATATATACCTAAGGTAATCTCAATCATCTTAGTCTAGTGTTAATTTTTTTTTCTAGGTAGTATAAACTAAGTTCTTTGGACTTTCTTTATATGTGCTTTTAAACAAAGGACTTAGTATAGGTAAAAGAGCTAAACCACATGAGAAATAATAACTGTTTCTTGACAATGAGAGCTAATAACCAGATGTCGCTAGTTGACACCGAGGAGTTCTTCATTACACAATTAATTTAATTGAGAAGTTAGTTTTAAATACATAAAAGTACCTATACCAGTTCCTAGAGTAGGTACGAGTATTATATTAATACACAAAACAATGCCACATTGGTTTGCTCTTGAATTTTTTGCACATTTTCAACTCTTTTTTTTTACTTTTCTACTTTTATGAAAATCTGTGTTATAATTTAATTATTTTCAATCTTATTTATAAAATAAATAACTAATAAGTAGTATGTACAGAAAGAAACATTATCCTTTACATTTTTCGAACAAATTACCTTCCTTGTTGTGAAATCTGTCAAATATCAGACAGGGCGCCGCCCTGGTGGCAGATAAAGTCGTGGATGCCCTCATTGCATTGGATATTATATTTTTATTATTTCCAAATTATAAGACAAAACTGTACAAAGTATGCCTTATTCATAATACTTATTTTCTCAAAGACAAACAAACTGAAATCAGTCTTCGGGTTTATTGCAAGAACAAGTTTATCCTGACTGAAGCAGAACTCTACCCGCTCTATTTGTCTCCTTACAACTTGTTTCTTACACTGCACTGTGATTCTTAATCGAAGACAGATGTACCTAGATGTTTATGGGCCGCAGCATCTACTTACCAATTAGGTGGACTGTGTGCTCGTTTGTCACCCTTAAACTATAATAAAAATTCATACCTACATGAATTCAAATGAAATGAAAACCCTATTTTTTACAACGTAAGAATTGAACATTTTGTTTGTCAAACTCTACAATATTTTTAAACTACCTTTAACCATTTCAAAATAAAATTCCCTTACCCGGAGAAGATATGGAGGAAGAAACAATATCTAAGTATTTTTCATCCATTAAATGAAAAAGAATGTATTTAGTTACACATGCTCTAGTAGGTACCTACCTAAACGATACGAATCCCATGGCTCAAGTTAGTTTTAAATACTAATAGTCTAAGTCTCACGGTCTTTTTTACTTTTACCTATACCTAAAGTATGTATAGATATTACTTACATAGGTATTTAAAATTAATATTGATAGCATTTTGTGACTCCTTAATACTTTTGTTGTTTTTATAAATCATTCAAAAGTTATGACGACCACATAACAGTTGATGATAATATTATGCCAATTATGATATCCTATTACAATCGACTAATTACTTCTTTTAACTATTATTTATTCTGTGGTATTACTTATATCACAAAATAAACCCCAGAAAGAGCGTAGGTATTTCAATACTAATGTCAAAACATGCTCTAAAAAAAACAGGTAGGTTAGGTAATAATATATAAAAAGAAACCATGAACAGCAGAATATAGCATTCAATAATATTCCACGAATAATATTGAGACAAATGTAGGTATCTACAAACGAACAAATGAAAAAACGTAAGAAATTCCAAGGCTTCTAAGCGCGTCTCAACCAATAATCTCGAAGTACCGCCCACGTCTTGTAACGCCTCCTTTCTTAGAAGTTTAGTGCACTAGCTCCACCCAAAATTTACGCACGCCCATCGTCTTAGAAGCGACCAATAAATTTACCCATGTAACTTACAATACATCTTTTACTATAGTGAGTTAGGAGACATCGGAGGTCGGAGAAAAATTTAAGTAATTTATATTAACACATAAATTATGATCAAATCATATTATGTTGTCGGGCTTGCATTGGAGTAGTATTTTATTTATTGAATATTTGATAAGTATTAATTGCGATATTTTAATTGCCAGGAGCAATTGTTTAAGTGTTAAGAAATAATATCAATAGTTATTGCGATACTGATTACTAATCCAAGGCTTATAACTATTTATCATCGTTATGTGACATAATATAAGGGATATATGATAATGGGATATATATACCTATGCAGCAGATATCTTATTCAAAGAGTGAAATAAAAAATAAATGCAAAAAAATATTTAAATTAAAATAAAATCTTTAGGTACATAATTTACTATTTTGAAAATATATCGGCATACTGCCATCTATGAAAATAATTTGAAATTAACTACAGGAAAGCGACATCTATACATAAAATAATTAAGTATCGAAGTTGCGCTTGCGACTAATTTGTTACGCCATCTAGTGTACAAAAGCAGCACGAGTTGTCATTTTTAGCACCCTATCGACGATCGAGCTCAAAAAACGATATAGGAAATAACATACTTCACAAAGTTATTCAACAGATGGCTCCTTGTTCCTTTCGAATTTTATTATAATACAAAATTTAAAAAAAATTAATAAAGAACCTATAATAATATTAGATAATATATATATATGAATATAAGAGCCTATAAGGTAGATTCATAAATTAGTATTAGTACTATATGACACAAAATTGAAGCGCCTGAAACAATAAAATAGCAACATGACATTGCTGTAATTTGTCTACTTATAATGCTAGGAGAATAATACTAGGCACTGAAAATATCTTTAAAAAGTAATTTAGACAATTTTCATTTTGTTTCTTTCGCTTTTATATTTTGAGGCAAGTTTTACTATGATGACAGTTTCTGTGAGATTTACTGTAGGGTCTATCGGTCCGCGGGGTCCACGCACGATGGTATTTTTAAGGAATTAACCGCGTCTGGTCGTAACCACCGGAGACACAAGGGCTAAGTAGCTATTTTCACCCATACCCAAGGTATAGCCAATCAGTGAGGAATAGCAGCGAACGTTCTCTTGGCACTACACCGTCGGGAATAAGACGATTTGATAATTATTTACTGTAATATATATTGCATTTTGTTGGGTTAATTATATCAATTTTACGATCAGGTACAACAAATAAAATTTAACAGATTCGAAAACTATCGGCATAAAATAATGAAATATATCTTATAAATACATAAGTAAAATAGGCGCATTTATCTGCGGCTTCAGAATTATCAAATTTTAAAGGCCCTTTTATTAATTTGTTTCGATTACTTTATTAAATCTAATGCAACTTATTCGTGTTATTAATAAATTTGCATTAATTATAAGCAATAACTTCTGAGGTAACTCTGTTATTATTTATTATAAGGTTAAGTAAGTACACAAAAAGTCAATAAGAGCGAATTAGGTTTTTCACATAAACATAATTCGTGAAATTTTTGTTACATTTAAAAAAATTATTTCCTTCACCTCAATATAGTCACGGCCTTTGTTTTAATTTCGTTTTCTTGGTGTTTTATCATAACTTTGCGTTTATAGAAAAGAAATCAAAACATAGTATGTTTTAAAAACATAATTTATTATAAATGGTACATCTAGCGATTGTTGTAAACCCATTTCATTGTATTAGATAAAATATTATAATTATTTGATAGGTTTTTTCTGCCTAGTAGACTGCCCCGGTCATACTAATTCTTGCCACCAAGCGGCAGTGAACCCAGTTTTATGTTTCAAAGAAGATTAGAAAAGATGATTAGGCACTAGGCCGTTTGAATTCACAAAGCTCCTTTGTTTGACGTTGCAGATGTCCATAAGCTGAAGTGGCTACCTACTTACTTATATAGTGTGTGAGGGTAATATGGTCATCCGGTTAATATGGTCACTTATATCTCCAAAACTACAGCATCAATCAAATAATAAAGCTTCAAAAGGGCGCTGCTTTATCATTACCATTTTGCCTGCTGATATAGTAAATATTTTGGTCGATTTTAGTAGTGGGTAGTGTAGTAAATATATTAGTTATGTTTTTTTTGTTTCTGTCCTCCTAGTTTAGGTTTTATAGGGCGGCAAAGCTTAAGGTGACCATAATATTACTCTCAACCTACCTTATAATATTTTAATTCATTAAAATATTATAAGCCATTAATATTAGACAAAAGCCCAAATAAACTGGCGTACAATTATAGCCATGTAATGAAACGGCTATATTGTACATATGTAAGTATTATTAATTAAGTATTATGATCATTCTCACAAATTGCTTTATGCATCAAATTCATCCAAACACGAGTTGATCCTTCTTACCTGAATTGATTTAGTTCAGTGAAGTACATACGAAAATTCCGCTCTTCATAAAGCAACTTAAAAGAACAAAATAAAAATAAAAAACAAAAAACAAAAAATAACTTTATTCAATAAAAAAAATAACAAAAATAAAGGATAATAAAATTAAAATAATGATTTCACAATTGCTTCAATTCAACAAGCATATCGTATAGGTACATAAGAAACTGAAATAATAAAAAAAAGTTTCCAGCTAAATCTACAAAATAATTCTAAATAAGTACTATATAAAAAAATAAAATGTGGGCGGTGGTTATTAATAAAACGAAACAATACATTTTCTAACAACAGTAACAAAAAGATTGATATTGTGTACCACTACTCTTAACAATTAGTTGAAATTATAATACAACAACCTTGGTCCAGGGAACAATCTTGACGTAGCACAAAGTGTCTATTTTAAATCACAATACAGTCCTAAGTGGTAGTAACCTAATTATAGAAGAAAGTACTTGTGGCAGTCAATTTTAATCTTAAGTCCCACTAATCACTAATTTAAGGCTTACGATTTTTAACTATTATGCTCATTAATCGCTCACTCGTTAAGAAAATAAAAATAAATTAAAAATATTATCAATAACGGCCAAACGTTTAATCTCTTTACAAAAATGTAACCGACGTATATATTATAAATTTCGCAAAACTTTTCTCCACTGCCAACAGTTAAGATTTTAAAAAATTGAGGGTCGAGGGAATTTTAGCCTAAAAAATATCTTCGATTAAACGCGGTAAGATTTTTAAATTTAGTATGTGTTTGAATTTTGTATTACTAAAATTTACAATCACAAGAGCACGAGGAACGTGTATTACGCCGCGCGGCCCGGCCGGCCGCCGCGACTCCAGACGGACGACTGAGACTGTCCGCGACCCGCGCCGCCACCCTGATCCGCACCGCACCCTCGCGCTACCACCCCCCACCCCCAACTTCGTTACGAGCCACTTGTGATCGCCGTGCGATTTTTCCGCCTAAGACAAATTAGGCGGGCCCGCGCCCGTTTTCCTATAACTCGGTTTCGCCTTTGGGCGGTTTCTTACATCTTGAGACGTTTTTTGTTCACGCCTAACTAGGGCCCCATAAAATGAAATGCTTTAAAAACTATCTTAGTTTATAATTTTAGTTACCATTTTTATAAGCTGTTAAGTCTTACAATTTTATATTACACTGACATTCATATGAACAAGTATGAATTATCGCCCGTCCGATGTTATGGCGGCGGGCTGTTTTATTTTTAAATGGCATTTAATCGTCACTCTCACTTTCGCCGATACCGAGGCCGGGTTAATTGTAAATAAAATTCAATCATTCGCAAAAAATCCCCGTAATCGGCGGCCGACAATATCAATGAGAGATACGTGAGTGTTTAATGTACATTTATATGCATTTAAAAACGATTCCATTGACTGCATTTTTGCGTCCAACATTTTTTACATTCGGAAGAATGAACGTTACGCGATACTTGTTGATAATGATTATTTGCCTTTTTTGCCGACAGTATTAACATTACGAGTGAATGTGGGTGACAATGACCTGATATGAAATTGGCGGATGTTAACTTAGAGTATAGTAATTGTTAAAGTTTTGGTTGCTGTGCTAATGTTAGATTTCTTAAGATTAAGAATACGGTTGCCAGAGCTATAACTGTTCCTTTACTAGAGAATTATAAACTAAAGGTCTGCTTTTATTATGCAATCAATACTTTTTAATGCGAAGTATAGTAGCTGTTGTGATGATTTAATGAAAAAAAAATTAAGTGCATTATTACCTACTTATCAATTTTATAAATATTTTACACGCATTTAAGAAAAAAAAACATGCACAATCACTCAGACCAACAAAGAAAGATAGACGGAGCGATAGATTTCACGTAATACTGAAACCATTTTCAACTTTTTGTTCGACGCACTTACACACAGTTTTCTTCTTTCTTTCTTTATCAGCCCGTAAAAGGTTTACTGCTGGACGCACAAATGTGCATCTGAAACCATGTTATTGGTTGGTGAGATATGATGCATATGTACGTAAATTCGCGTTCTTAAACTAATTTAGGCATGGTTTTGGCTTAATTTTTGAATCAATTTAAATGTACGCAGCACTCTGTCTGTTGTTGGTCTGACACATAATCAAGAAATATATGAAACATATTGAAAATTCAATAGGTAAGATTATAATATGCAACATACAATACGAGTACCTATTGATCTAATACTTCAAAGTATAAGTAGGTAAATAATGTCCATTGTTAGACTTATTTAAAAAAATCTAACATTTCTGTCACACGGTTGGTACCTACCTACAAATAATAGAAAAAGCTTAGGCTTTGTTTAAGTCTTTTTTATTTCTTTATCATTATGAAGTTTTATTTAAGATGGCCAGAAAGTTTCAGTAACTTTAAATTTCATATTAACAAACATGGATTTATTAGACTTAGAAAAGAAAAATCTCATGATAGACATTATACAAAAGCAACAAAACGTAGCAATTTTGAGTCTATTGATTGATTATTTAAATATTATTATATTTTCATGGCTGAACAAATTATATGAAAAAGCAGTTTGTACGTCCATATTTGCAGGAATGTTAACAAATATTTCAATAACATTTTGCAACATTAGAGTTTTATAAACAATTATGATTTATCTAGATGTGTTAACTTTATATTAAAAAGCGTAAGTACTAATGGAAATATTTTCATAGATATAATTAACACATAAATTCGACTAACAAATGATATATTCAATGAACTGATTATAGCAGCAGTAGAAGAAGAACAAGGTCTGAAATCAATATATATATTAGTATTAGGAACGCATTTTAAATTTTTTATTTATGAATAGAAGTTTTTATTAGTCGTTACGATATTTCCTAATTAATTTGAAACAATACTAGACTCTACTTCGCGTGGTGCTATAAGAGATTCCATCATCATAATTCGTCCTTTAGGTGTAAAAGAGGCGATTATGCGAAATTTCTATTCACCTCAATTTATATATCACTTCACAAATTACTGGCTAATTTACAGTAACAATGTTGTAAGGATCAAAAGTTGAGAGACTGGAGTCTATTATAAGGCTTATAAGTCTATAACAGCTCATAAAAACCTGACCAGTAGGTACCAGTAGGAGATCAAAATTTTATAGTACGAAAATAAGGAGTCCATCAATGTTAAAGTTAGTGTACTGATTAAAATTAGATTCCTTTGTTATGTACAAGTGGAATCCAGGAGTAAATTAAAGTCAAATTCTGACCACTCCATGGGTTGATTGTCTAATGACATTAAGTCTACCGTTAGTATTATTTTATGGGAGTGCAATAAAGATTGTAGATATAAATGTATTATAACCAAATATAATACAAATTCACGAGACATTTTGTAACTTTACCTACGCTTGTGTATGCAAATTTTCAACAAAGTAAGAAGCCACATAAATTGCTCAAAATACATGCAAAAGATTAAAACAAAATTGATCGACGAATTTGAAGGGAAATACAATAAAATAAAAGGTAAATTTGCATGCAGTAACATTCCTTGTTCATAACCTGGTTTATATACCTAGAGTAACTGTAACTAAATATAAGTTAGTTACAGTGAAAGCAGTTTCTTTAAGAACATGCGATAAAAATAATTTAACTAATTGATACAATAACATATAAAAGATGTTTGTACCCTAAAATTATCAAGAACAAAAAATCTAATTAATATACGCATTAATATGCAAATAAACACTATATTTGTGAAAAGTGATGAACAAAATGAAAAAAAATAAGATTTGTTTCGTAATTTACATGAGCAACCAGGATCAGGCCCGCCTTCTAGCTGTTTCGTTTCGACTAAATAATCTAGTGACACGCTTTACCATCAAGTTTAGTAATCTCGACACATTACTTGACGGGAAAAGCTTGCACATCGCCGTAGGATTTCGACTAGAAGCGGCAATTTGTCAACTTTATGAATGTCCACTGATTATTGTGCAAGTAAATTGTTAGTAGGTTATTCCGTCACGGTTCTTGGAATCACATAATTTCAATCGCTCATAGGCTTAGTATAGACATTCAGTGAGGAAACGCAGCTAGAGTTTTTTGGTACAACACTGCTAATTGTAGGAATGTATGATAATTTTAGAATTTAGATTTTAGTTTTTTGTTATTATAATATACATATATTACATATTTTCATGATATGTAGTGTTTTTATGTTATATAACCTGTGAAAATATTAAAAAAAAGATGACAAAGGAAACTCTATTACATTTTCACATTAGAATTTTGTATGGTGTGCGTATCATTTCTAGTTTCGAGGTTTTTTTAAAGATTATGAGAAAAATATAAACATTTAAAATTAACTAATTCAAGCCTTATCCTATTGTATGAACTAATTAGAACTGAAAACTTGGAAATTTTAAATTTTAAACGCTGATATCAGTTCAGTTACGCTGAAATTACATATTGTGTACATGTTTTTATTTTAATCATTAATCACATAAAATCTCATTATTTTCCTTTTGCAAGCCTGTTTCCCGTTTAGCTTTAAATTTTCGGGTTGTAGTGTGGTCCGAAGAAGAAATAATTATTGTTTTATAAAAACGCGACCCGACTGCTGTCGCAGGGAGTTCATTACCCTTCGTCTCGATTTTTAACGAATCATCGATTTTGTAATCGACTGGACATAGGGGCGCAGAGGTTTTCAACATTTTTTGACAATATTGAATATGATTTATCAAACGATTATTTTTTTGGATAAATCACTCTATTGAAATCATAATTTAAAACGTTCTAACGTATACAACTAGGTAATATATAGGAATAATATTTTGTGTCTAAATATTTCGCTACTTATTTTCAAATATTTTTTGGAGTTGACAGTATATTTTTTTTAATTTTATTCAATTTTTTTTTAGTTATTACCTACGACTAATATAACTTTTCATTTAAAAATAACAAGTAAAACATTATCTTCTTATGATATAAAATTATAAAATTACATTTTTATCTATGTTCCATACAAATAAAAATTAAATAAAAATAATAATATAATTTAAATAACATAGTTACAAAACAAAGTAGGCGGGAAAATATAAAAATAAAATGATGATACAAAAATTTTGCGTAAATAATAAGTAGATACCTACGATTGAAAATTAACGACTCAAACAACCAAATTACCTGCTCGAGCTGAAATGAAGATGCACTCTTTATCTTCTAAGATCACGCGAAATTACCATACCAATTATTTTACTTACAATAGTTTAAACATTCTTAAGCACCATAAATAATAAAATAAATTGGTCTTAATTGCTAATTGAGTAACTGTTTGTAATAAAGTTATACAACAACACAGTCCAGAAAATACAAGTTCTTTTCACTTCATTAAAAATCTTGGTACACAAAAGTCTCAAAAGTAGATTTGAAGCGCCGAAATTTTGGAGGGATTCAAAAATTAAATTAAAAAAATTAACGCGCTGAAGGAACTTAACACCACTTATAGACTATGCGGCAAAACGAGCCGAATATTTACATTGAAGAAAAAAAAATGAGGTCAATCGGAGGTTACGGGCAACGCAGCCGGTCGGCGCGGGCCGCGACGGGATGTGGCATTCGCATCCTCGGGCTTCTCGTGCCCCCGTACTGCCTCCCGCACACCGCCGACGCCGGCCCCGAGACCGCCGAAAACCACGTGCGCGAGCTCACGAAAGAGACACTTCATTACAGAAACAACCAGTTAAACAGAGACATAACTATTCTTTTTTCAATTTACTATATTTGTCCAGTTTTTATTATTTTTTCGCATTTCGATATTTTATTTTTTAGTTGATGCGCTCTGCAACTCACCTGTTGTGCTTGACCCGTTTCGATCTGTCGACCGATCACATGATCGACGGTTTTCGATACCGGTTCTTTTTTTTCGGTATCACACGTAGTATTTAAACATTTTGAGAAAGGCGCGAAATTTTTAATCTTCTCTTTTTAGCGTTCTATTCGCGA